GCGTCTGCCAGAGGGTTTACTAGGTTGGCTTCTTCTCTATAAATCACCCATAGTCTTTTTTTCTGATGGCTTCCTGTCCAAGTTGCTTTAAAGGCAAAGTTCGGGCTCAGACCCACCTAAGAAGCCCTTACCATGGCTAGAAGTGCTGGGTACGCAAGTGCAAAGGTAGCGCCACCTTTCTACATCGAAACGCGTCACTAGGACCCTAGGCGCCATGGACTTCTAACAGACTCCACCAAACTTAACATGGTCCGCCCACCGTTCGATATCTTGTCTGCGTCGCTGCGTTGATCTGCTATGCTCTCTCTTCTCGGACTTCTCTACCGCTCTCCGCGCTCACATTATCTCTCATCTCCCTGCCTGTCTTTTGAACTTCTCCACAGCATAGAGCAAAATGCTCGTATTTCCTGTGTATTTCAGGATTTTCTTTCCTTTTTCTCCGGCGGTCCACCTCCCATCCCTACTTTCACATTTGAGTGGAATTACCTATCAATATAATCCTGACTTTGATGCGGGTTCGCCTGGGTGCATGAGTCGACCAAGATATCTTTACTATACGCATATTTACTACACGTTCACTACTCATGCTTATGCCTTTCACCAATCAGCTTACAAGTTTTTGAGGTATGAATTTCATATGCTTTACTTGACTCACCCGGAGTTCCTTCTTGGATCAGCAAAAGAACCTGAAATTCAACTTTATATTGCATTGTTGTGTTATTCGCTATTTTACAAAAAAAAATGTTCTCATGCCATGAATAATTTGAAGGCGCTGGAGCTAACCCTCCGAAATTACAATATTGGCCATATTTAGTGCTTACGGTGCGGCTATTACACCAGTGTGGCTTTTGTCGCAATCTGACATAGGCTTATGGCTAGCACCGGTTTGTAGTTTTAGGGTTGATGTCCACGAACTTCACTAGCGAAGTATGTAGCTGCCGAGGATCATCTGTGAAGCAGCCATATACTGAAGTGCCTGCGAGAGCATGCTCCGTAAGGCCGATGTCATAGTTTGCGAATCGAGCGATTCGCTAGCGAATCGCTGGATCCGAGCGTTGCGCCAGCGAATCGAACGTTGCACCAGCGAATCGAACTTGCACCAGCGAGTCGAACGATGTACCAGCGACTCAATTAGGCCGATGTCAGACTTTGCGAATCGCGCGATTCGCTAGCGTCCGCGTTGCGGTACCAGCCAATTGAGTGATTCACTGGCCGCGACGCGACCGCAGACGCTAGCGAATCGCGCGATTCGCAAAGTCTGACATCGGCCTAATGGCGGGACCCAACGTCCAAAGGAAGCCCGCCACTTTCAAACAGTGTCCACTGTCAAGTCCCGCCACTTTCAAAAGGGTCCACTGTCACGTGACACTGTTCGAAAGTAGCGGGCTTCCTTTGAACGTTGGGTCCCGCCACTATTGAGTCGCTGGTACATCGTTCGACTCGCTGGTGCATCGTCGATTCGCTGGTGCAAATTTGATTCGCTAGCGCAACGCTCGGATCTAGCGATTCGCTAGCGAATCGCTCGATTCGCAAACTATGATATCGGCCTAAACGCGTTCTTTCGATAAACTTGCTGTTGGGTTGGAGCATAATGTAGCGCTCGCAAAAAAGTTCAAAGCGAAACCCCAAAGCAAAGCCAAGCATAAAAATGATATTGTATTCGTCATTATTTATGACTTTGATTCCACTCCGCAAGAAATTACCGGATTTAGAATCAAAAACTAAAGGCTACTGAGCCCGTTTTCAGAGTCCTCATTATTCTCAATTTGTACGACGTGAATGTGATTTGAAATTAAAGGTGTGGGCTGGAGTGAGATTCGATGATGATGACGCATTCTGAAAACTCTATTTTGGCAGATTTTTCTTTATAAAGATTTTGCCCACTTTGTTTCCGAACTTTAAGCACCTATCTCTCACACTCCAATTAAGGGAAGGAGAAACAAGGTACGAAGAAGAACTTTCAAATGATTACATATATGTGATTTTCCTCCGGTATATTTTTATGCACGAATTTTAACGCAAAATAAAAACGCACGACATTATGCCTCAACCCAATACATCGTGGAGTTACACTGCCCATTCACACTCACCAGAAACGGGAGAAACATGGCGCTGATCGACACAGCTTGAATACAGTCTACAGTTTGCTTTTACAGTGGACCTTTATACAGTTACCATGCAGTACAAGATCAAAGAGTGAAACGGTAGCACAGCGCCGCGCGGGGGGGCGGGGCGGCGGCGCGGGCGCGGCGCGCGCCGGGCGGGCGGGGGGGGCGGGGCGGCCGGGGCGGGCGCGCGCCGGCGCTGCACGTACTCTTTCGCTTTGTCCAGCTATGATAAGCGAGAACACCTAAAAAGCCGAACGGGGCAAAGGTTTGTTAGTTATTTCTGAAACGATTTTTTTGTTTAGTTGATAACTGTGAGTTTTCGTTGACAGCTCAACTGAGGAATTCAAAGTGCGTTTAGGTGAAAGTGTAGTGTTCAAATTAATTAAGAAACGCTGCTTTCAGATGGCAGGATCAAAAGCAGATAGGTGCACCAGAATTCGCAAATACACATTAAAATGATACGCTGTTCGGTTACTGGTCGAAAATTTAGAGGTGCTTAGTAGCACCAGTGAAAGAAATGAAGGGACAGTCCAAAAACCCCTTGAAAAGGCTCTTTCCAATTGGTCCTTGGTCTGCGTCCATCAATGAAGGCACTCTTTCATCCGGTCCAGAAAATTTTGCTTTACGTTTTTGCCTTTTTGCCTAGCTTTCATCGACCTCAAAAACGATTGCCCACTCATCAGAGGAATTGCCCGCGGAAAATTCGTGGATTCCTACCCTGCATAAATTCGAAGGCTGCGATCCCTGAAGGGAAAGCACGAGTTTCATGCAAAAACCAAATTTCCGAGGAGAACAATCTTCGGGACGGTCGCGCCGGTTAAACCGGGCGGAGCCTTGGATGAAAGAATGCGCGCACATAGTAGGGCGATGTATCGAAAAATTGGAATCTCGGCCCCGGCGGATTCAAACCCGCATCTCTCTCTTACCGAGCATGTGCGCTACAAGTCGATCTACGGGGCACCATCTCTAATTCAGCTCTTCATGACAAGTTTACCACAACTCATCCGCACTCATACGTATGGCCTGTTGAACCAGCTTTGAGTGTTAAAGCTTCAGCAATGGAGACTTGTTTTCGATTGTTGTTTTTGGCCGCAGTTCGCCTTGGGAATGGTTCACAATTTTACAATTCGCAACAATCAAAAACGAGTCAAAATCAATTGGTATTTTTGTTTCTCCCGTTCCATCGTGAAGTGTGGCTCTCAAGTGAACGATTTATGGGAGACAGAATAAGAGTTTTTCCGTGATCATATCCTTCAATCTGGGTGGAAGTGGTGCAGTGGCAAGTGGCGCGCTTACCACGCGCGGTCCGGGGATCAAATCCTGGGTCGTGAGTCGCCCGGGCCAACCAAGCCTTCCATCCCTCCGGGGTCGGTTAATTGGTACCAGACTTGTCTGGGAGGATAAAAACACTGACTTGTACATCGGGCTGGCCCCCGCAAGTCATTGTATAGGCCACATCGCATTCAAACGCCACTACGAATGTACAAATGGAAGTAGAATGCGTGCCGCATCCCAAAAAGGGATTGATCAACGGCAAATGCTTTATCCTTTATCCTTAAATGATTTAAGAAATTATACGAAAGCGTTTATAAAAGGCTCTCTAAGCGTGTGCAGTTTGATTTATTTTCTTACAATACCTGAATGAGTGCTGAATACACACGAGACTAAACTTTTGGAAGGAGGGTCAATTTCTCCAGGCCCAAAAACCAGACGTACTTTAAACATCAGCTGATTCTGTGTATTATCAGAGCCATGAGCCGTATCAAGTACATATTTACTATCTGGAAGCCAATACCAAAAACATTTGTAAAGCAATGAAGATAACGTTTTACTTTTACTTTGATAGGACGACGCTTCATGTAAATATACGAGGTCTGCTGTTCGATGATAGGCTTCTGTCAGGAAGCCAAATTTAAAGGCAGTGATTACGATAAAGAAGGAGCGCATCGGAGAAGCATACGCACCACACGAATCAGTTACTTGGTTGTCAGGGAAGCGAGGTGTGACGCTTCCACGAAAAAAGGTGCGCTGGTTGCTGAGCAAGACTTTCGAAAGCACTCCGCCCCAAAAGCGATCCGCCCACTAGTTTGACTTGGTGATTTGGACGAGCTGCGTTGCCAGCAGCGCACAACTGAAGCAACTCGACTGGAGCATGGATTGGCATGGTGTGCTCATCCAAAAACGCGTTGCGGTGAACTCGTTCATACGTCCGCATTCTAGCTGTTACCTGTTCATGAGTGAAAACCGACGGCCGAAAAAGGGGGTTCCCGCTTTGCGTTTTTGACGGACTTCTCCGCTTTTTTCCCACTGGCGTACCATTGAGCACCTCCAGTCTCTTATAAACCTTTCTTGTACCTATCGTAATCGCTGCCTTTAAGGCGAATTCTCTCACAAGCTCGATATCAAGTCAGCGAACGGAGGTATCCCCCCATGTATTTGGGGCTAAGATTAGCTACAATAACGTACAGCATTACGGTTTTCTTACATTTCGCGGCAACCCGTCAACTATCAGCCAATACTTCATCAGGCCATGAAACAATGTCGTGATTAGATTAAGGCGAATTCACGATGAAAAAGCAACCCATTTCAAATAACCTAGGGATGGTGAGTGGTACACGAAAGAAGGAAGAACCATGAGAAACGGCCCAGAACCCGAGAAATGGTACCCCTTCCTTGCCCGTTGATTCGAGCATTGATGCGACTCTCATCGCTGTGCCCTCTTCAACACTACGCTCTCTCAGCTATCTAATCACTCGCCACGTATTGAACTACGGCGAGTGATCAGATGATCGGTGGGCGGAGATCGCCGAACGCCAGCCAGGTCACCGGTCGGTTTACGCGATGTTGAGGCGTCCGTTGGACGATGTTCACCGCTCTCCGCGCCGGCATTCACTCTCGCACCCGCGAGCCGTCTGTGTCTCCGTGCGTACGTTCACTCTCGGCATTACTCTCGTCGTCGCGTTGGACTTTGTCCAACGGACGGTTGACCCTGCCGCCAGCTTTGAGGCATGATAGGTCGCCGAGGTCAAATTTTTCCATGCGAATTGCGCGTCAGTTCGCACCCTCAGGAGGTCCGTGGGTCCCTCAACTAGGTCAGTTTCCCTTTCTTCGACCTTCATTCTAATCGTGAATTCCTCCTTTAAACCTGCGAAGAATACGACTCCGTTGCCATCCTTTCTACCTTCATCCCCGACTCTCAACTCACCGACGTCTCCGAGCAAGGGCGATGATACCCATCCTTCAGGGCCACCCATTGTGTGCTCCATTTCCACTCTTGACCCCAAAGGGGTCACGGTATATCTGAAGATATTCCTGGACCAATAACCTTTTTGCTGAACATGGTGAAGTGAAGTGACTCAACTTCAGGTGTCATGGTGGAGTTGAAGTGACACACTTCAAGTCCACCATGACACCGAAGTTGAGTATCGGCATTCATCCAAATCACCTAACCGGAGTCGTTACGGACGATAAGCGATTTAGACACTTTTTCTGATGTTAACCCTCTTCCTAGCGCCTGGATTGCAGAAAGAAAAGCAAAAAATCTAAAAGTAAACTTTACATTTTTGCTACATGCAAAGATTTGAGAAGTATTGCTCCCTTGA